AGGAAAAATATAAACTAACATTTTGGAAGAAGACATAGGAACCTTAAAAGAGCTAACATTTTTCATTCTGTAAGATTAATTTTACCATTCTGATTCTTGTTGCAGAGAGTATACACAGTCATGCACAAATTGTCCACTTTAAGACTATCCATTATGGGAGAAAAATTTGAAAACTGCTTTTCAAGAAGTCATATTTACAGTGAGTAACAGACACAGTCTAAAAATCAGGGAATTCAAAACATATATGATACTTGGAGTTACAAAGTGATCCAAGGTAGGAAACAGCAGGTTTGAAGGACAAGTATTTTCTTGAGGATCATGGGAAGAATTTTCCTGAGGAACATGGTCTAGGAAAATGGTCAGTTTTGTTTTCATATAGACATCCTCACTCTTATCTGCAAATATAAGGTATTGTGTTATTAGGTTCAGTAAATACAAGTAGATACATATTCAGAACGGAAGAATTATGTTTATTTTTTTCCCCTCCTATTGAAGGAGATTGCTGTACATAAAGCTTTATTGAAGTATTTTCCATTAGGGCAGAGAAGATATGAATTCACAAATACAGTGGGCTTTGGCACAGTTGCATGGGAGAACTCACAGCTGTGAGTGAACACAATGAATTGACAAAATCTCTCCCACCCCCCAAATTTTTATCTTGTAAGAATTTATGATGTTTCAAAAATGATTCTGTTCTGAAATAGGAAAACGCCAAACACCAACACTTTATAAAATAAAAAGGTTAGATAACTTTCATTCAGAAAGTATTGTTCTTTGGAGGAATATGCCTGTCACATAATGACATAATAATGTTTATTTTTCTATAGGATAGTTTTCAGGACATCATGAAACACTGGTCCAGCTCAAGCACGCAGGAAAAAGCACATGGCTTTAAGGTATATGAGCCATGTTACTTTCCACTGCATATGGAACTTGTATACTTCTTGTATATTTCTCATTTTAAGAGCTCTCCATTAAAAAAAAAAAAAAAAGAACTTTGGAACACTTGAATTCCGCAACTCTCAGTTCTTCATGGTAGCTTATAGAATTCACTAACAACATGTGCTAAACCATGGATCATATTTCCTACATTAAATTAAGATGCAGGGTAAATAAGATTGCACTGGGCAAAGCTTATTTTTAGCAAAACTCTATGGGATCACATATGTGTCAGCAGCTGTGGGCTTAGTAGTTTTTTGTCTGCTCATGGTTGACACAGAGGCAACCATGTCAATAATTTCATAGTAAGATCAACTAGGACCATTATTTTCAAAGGTCTCTTTACAGTTCTGCAACTGGATTTTTCTCCACTCAATTATTTTATTTTGTATTTTGTCCTTTGATTTCTAGTCCAATATGTGGGTGTGGTATGAGGTAATCTCTTATCTCCTAAGCATGTTGGGTTTTCAGGATGTATTTTGGACATAAGCATGCATCAACTTCTGTCTCTGCCTTTTGTTTCCATTTTGTCCAAAGGAGTTTAAAAATGCTCTTTTCCTTATATTAAGTGCTCTGACATAGTTTAATTCCTTGAGTATGTTAGAAACAATAACCAAAAAAAGCAAAATACCTTGACATGTTGTACTGTCAAATCACATGATCAAAGAAACCCATAAAAATTAAAAATTATCACAACACAAAAATGTAATTAAATTTTCTTCTTTTATTTGTGTCTGCACCTGGGGTGTAAACACACACCCAGGCATTCATTTATCTCTACAAATCTCTAGCCTCACCAAAACAATAATTAAATCCAGACTTAAAACTCTGAGTTGAGTGGATTTTTTGAGAAATCTCCAAGAGTTTGCTTCCTATTTCTCTTTCTAATTCTATGAATCCATACAAATATTAGTAGTTTTATGGTGAACGACAGTGCCTGGAGCAGTTCTCTTTAAAGGCATCTCACAATAACATGTTCTATAGGTAATGTAATGGAATTACAATTTTCCAGTTTTATTTTGTACCATGCACATACACCTTTCACTTTACATAAAACAGAATGTTATGAAACAGGACAAAAATAACTTATGATTGTATGAAAAATAACTGTAAAAAAATCACAAAACTACACATGCTAGTAGAGCAAAAGATGTAACTTGTTTGAATTTTTGTTTTTTCCATGACATACAACAGACATTTCTTTAGAGCAAGGTATATCAGCCAGATATACAGTATGGCAAATTAAGATCATATGTATATATGTAAGCATGTATAAATATGTAGTTACTCTGTAACCTTTAGGAAAAACATAATCCCACTTTCTCTCCTCACCAAAGTGCTTTGTGTAAAAAATATTACACAAGATGCTGCTTTCTGTACAGATGCTGCTCTCTGTACAGAACAAAAGGATTCCTTTTTCTTAAATAAAAACTCAGCTAATTTTCATTTGTGGTCTTTTGCTTTAACTGCTTCAAGGAAATACATATATATATATACATATATATATATACAAAAAGCCCCAAACCAAGAACAAAATTTCAGACAAGAAAAAAGTGCTATTTGAAAATTCTGCTATAAAATTACACAGGCATAACAGGGAATAAACAGTTAAAATGTAATTTTTATACTCATTCACACCTTTTCAAGAAAAGCTGAAAACAATATACAGTGTGACAGATGGCCTTAGCACTGCCACTGTTCAGCATCTGGTAGTAGTAAACCACAATGCCTACATGTTTGTGTGTCCACACGTGTAGAAAAGGAGCCTTAAATCCACATGTGCACTCTCATACACTTCCACTTGTACAGATGCACTTTGAAACTGTATTTTAAACTCCAGTGTAGAACCATTTCTAATGCAGATATAAATAGACCACTGAGCTGGGAAAGAGTTACATTGTATAAAAGAATAATTGTAAATAATTTATTTTCAATATTGTTTAATGTCTGTAGTCTAAAATAACTTCATCTCTTAGATATGAATCCCTTTAGAAACTTAACAATACAGCAAGTAGAACAACAACACAAAACTCACGGACGCACAAGTATTTGCAAATAACTCAGTTATGCAGATAACCCACAAAATTGTATTTTCTCAAGCACCATTTTTTATTGTGACAAACAGGATTCCCTATTTAAATATCCAATATACATGAGCTACAATGGGGCTTTTTATGCAATTGCCCTCAGTGATTAAATTGATGCCTCAAAGTCAGTCCAACTCCAAAGTGAATAATGAAATAATAGTGAAGAATCCTCTTTGTCTCTGAATGAGAAGTAAACATAAGCCTACCTTTTTACAGACTGGTAGCCCATATTCATGTGCTTGATTTGACTCTTCTCTAGGGCCTTCTTTTTAGGATTAGGGCTCATGGAGAGTTGTAAATACATATATATGTGAAAGAATGAATTAATGACTAACAAAAGTTTCCTTTTTTAAATGTAAATGATGAATCCCCAAGCTGAAAATGCCCTTTTTGAATTCTGTACTCCCACTTTCCCTTTGGTCAGCATGTTTCAAAAAGTATAATTCTCAACTCTACAGAACAACTTGTACATTCAGATACTAGGAAAAAATATTTCAAAAAGTTTAAAAGTCAAGGCGGTACAGATCTGAAGACAGCAACAATATTTCAGTTTTGTAAACAGCAATGGACAAATTTCAGACAATCATGTGCTTAAAAGAATTTTGAGGGATTTATATATATGGAAGTATATAGGTACATGTATGTGTCCACACGTAGTCTGATCCTGCCCTTGCTGACTTTGGTGGAACAAAACACAATTCCACACATTTGAAATTAAAGTGTTCAGTGTGACTAATTATTCCTACTAAACCAAGTTACATTTGTGCAGTGACCACGGAATGGGCTTTAAGGTAGTACAAAATAAAGCTTTATTAAAAAGTGAAACTTGCAGCCAATGTACATTATGCAAAAGGACTGTCTTTTTGATTGCCTATGTATAGCTGTGAAGAATGCCTGCTGTCTTTTAATCCAATGCAAATCACATATGGTAACATCTAGATCTCTTAGTGCAAGCAGGAGCAGAGGGACACAATCTCTTGTGATGTGAGAAGCAGAATATATGGGGGAAGAATTTAGCACAGAATTAGCTACATTTTAGTCACTTTGCTTCTTGTTGTACTTCATTTATGTGCATGGTTTATCCATATATTCTACGTATCAGATGAAAATATTTCCATTAAATATTTAAGCATATAACTGCACATAAGAATATACTTCATGAATACAAACCTCAAAAGATTGCCAATGTTCACAAACATCTGGACACAAATTCATCTGTTCCACATAATTGCAGATTAAGTTATGAATTGGACCCAAATTGGAATTAACAACTCTCAAAAGTTTGCCAGGAAAAAAAAAAGGTTGTATAAACCTTTTTATTTTATCTTTTTGGAAGAGTTATTTCTGAAGCATAGTTATGGTCCAGCCTGCAAGGATGAACTTTTCTGTCCTTAGTCTATCAGGTCATGAGAATATTATGATGTACACTACACATTAAGAAGTCCACAAAATGTATGAACAGAAATTAAAACCTAAAAACTCCGTCTTACTAATGTAAGAGTTGTTCTCAAGGCATGCAGGATCACAGTGATAGCGTCTCCAGTGCAAAATACTGGTTTTAACTCATAACCTTGTATGTTTTACAACCCAATTTGCTTGCATCCTGGACTAAATTTGAGGACCAATGTCAATCTGACATTGATCAGAAAAATCAAAACCACCAAATCAGTATAGTTTTATCTTTCTAAGTAATCAGAGGAATCATAGTACACTTAAAAGTAGTTCTTCTTTCTGAAAATGTGTTATGGAAAAAGATTAGGACAACCAAAATTTAGTTGAATCGGTACAGATAGCTTTTTTAAAAAATGTGGAATTTAAGGAAGATTCTTTCCTACAAAAGATTTTAAACTTTCCTGGCAAAGACTATAGCACAGACAGCAACAATGCTCTACAATCTAATTAAAAAGCAACTGAAAGTTAAAATGCATTTATGCTTATCTGGTAGATCTGCTAAATAGCCACAAAGCCCACGTAACTTCTTGTATATTTAAATAATCTTATTCATGTTTAAAGGGTCAGAATGAATATTGGGAAAACAAGAATAGCTGTATTGTGTGGCTTAAAATAAGAATAGCTGTATTGTGTGGCTTAAAATAAAGAGGGAAGGAAAGGACACCTAACATGAGGCCTGTAAGAAATTCTCTACCAACAACCTTTGATCCAAAAAGAAGCTACACCAATGCCTCCAATAGGTAGTGCCTATATGTATGTCTACTTCTCTCCCTTTTGGACACTGGTGAGTGTTAAACTTGGAACTATCACATGCAGACAGGTTGTGCAAAAACTTTATGCCTTTGAAATGTTTGTAGTATGCTCTGGTTTTGTTTCTTTTCCTTGTTTGAAAAAGGAATTTTCTAAAGCTGTGTTTTTCTGCAAGTGCACCCATTCCGCTTGAAAGGATTACAGGCAACAACCAGTTTTCTTATTTGGTCTCTGAATTCCCTTTGAGAAATGAAAAGAAGAAATAATTTTAAAAGTATAGTTGCTGTACCACAGATGAGAAGAAAATAAACAATTGCTAAGATTTTGGCAAAGCTTGCTTTCTCCAAACATTCTCCTTCCCAGTTGGCTGCTTGATTAAATGAAGAATGCTTGGTAATTGTTTTTTTCCTCTCCATTATGTATGTATATCTAGTCATATCCCCATACATACATGGCAGTTTCATGGAGAGAAAAAATTTGTAGGGAAATAACAGAAGGGCAAGATGAAACAGAATCAAGTTCTTGTAAATAGATACACATTACTTAGCCTTCACTGTATACAGGAGAAAGCTGGCTGGAACAATGATCCACTGCATTTACTTGTAGGAAACTGCTGTCCTCTGGCATGCTGCAAGCTGAATCATCAAAGATATCTACAGACCCTGCTGAAAAGTCATACACTGGAAGAAGAAACAAAACAAAAAAGCCCCAGTTAATAAGTAGGAAAACTATACAATGATGTCCTAATACTTATGCATAGAACTGGAAATTGTTTTAAATCAAATACAGAAATAAAATATACAAGCCAACATATGTATGAAATTAATTACACAACTTACTGCTTACCAATGGAGGAATTTTCAGTTCTCTCAGAATCAAGTCTGAAGTAGAGCAGATTTAATTGCAACCAACCTCCCCATTTTAATGGGTGTTAAAATTGCGACAATTTTAAAAATAAACTTCATGCTTGTTTAACACATTTCATCATATTGAACACAGGATAAAAGGCAACAAAATATTGTAGAATATTGCCATAAAGTGGACTCTGGCACAGAAATTACTGCCTTTTACAAGTGGTAATAGTAAGCCCAAGAATAACTGTTTGCAGACACACTCCCATCTTTTGGATAACATGTGAGATTCCTCTTTGTAATTACAGGTGCACTGGCTTTGCAATACACTTCTGAAGGACCAAGACATAAGAGGGATTTCAAAGAACAATTACTGTTAAGTGGATTCATCCTGTGTGGAAGGACAGTAAAAGACCTGGGCATTAGTTGAGCACTAAGAGTAGGCTCACTGTGTTGAACTGATCCTTTGCACAGAGATCTTTCAGCCTTCCAGAGCAGCATGCAAGCCCCTTAAGAACTTTTCATCTAGGCACAGACTAAGTTATGTGCACACAGATGAGTGTGCATCCAGGAAGTTTTTGTCATTGAAACACGAATAAATGAAATTCAAGACTGATAAAAACCAAACATGCACCAAGCAAAATCAGCAATTTGAATCATCTCAGGTCCCTGCCACAATATGTGCAGTGGAAAGAAGTGGCTGCACAAATATCACAGAGGGCTCAATGGACCTTATTTCAGCTCAAATACATAAACCAGAGGCTGTGTAAGCCCCACAGGCTATAATCTTGAGAAGCCTTCAACAGTGTTCAGAGTGCACACAGGACGGTAGCTACTGTCACCCATGGCGAGTTCCGGCCTCCCAACACCAACTGCTCCATGAAGGTCTGAAAACTCTCTCCTCTTTGTAAAAGTCAAATCTGTCAGGCCATGTCCCACCCAAATACACAGCTCATGCATATCTGCCAAAGTTCACAAACTCTACACAATCATACATAGAGTGACCAACTGTTATTTACCTTTGATACCAGAATGATCTGAAAAACTTCCATGGAAAATGCCAAGCCCTCCCTGGCCTGCTGATGGGAGAGCTGAGCCGTCAACAGAAGGAACCATATTGCAAGAAACACTGTCTTGTATGTTCTTCTGAGTGTCAGCATAATGCGGAGGGCAGAAAGTCTGAAGCTGCCCATAAATGCCTAGAATGAGAAGAAGGCCATCAGAAAAAGACCTGGACAGAGATAAAAAAGAGAGTATATGGAACCATGGCCATGAGAATGATAAAAACCTCAACTGCCCTATCACCAGGTCTTCAATAATTTTAAACAAATAAAGCATATTGATATGATGCTCCCTAAAACTTCCTCAGGTTGCTACTACATGGACATCCTGATTCCATCATGACCTGTGAGAGGAACTGACTGGCTAGAAGCTGAAATTTTTCAGGAAATTTCTCCCTGTACTGCACAATCCTGTGTCTGAACTGGTATTCTCCAGAGTCACACTGTGCATCTGTCTGAAAATCTAAGAAAATACTAAATTCAAAATGAAAAAAGATTACGCAAGTAAAGTCTGAATAAAATCCAAGGATCTATCATTGATGCCAAGACAGCTGGCTGATAGTAGAGTCATGCATAGAGACTCTGAGAAAAAAAATTTTATCATGGAAAGAGAGCACAAGAAAAGTAGTGTCACTTTCCTAGGTAAAAGTTCTTTTCACAATTCAGTGTCAATTATCCATCTTTTAGAACAGAGAGTCATAAGCAAGAAATAAGCATATGTGGTTCTCTTCCCCTCAGTTATTTATCACTATTCTAAATGTCTTTGTGAGCATCTGCAGTGCATCAAGCCAGTCTTAGAACTGGAGTCCAACACGACACAGCAAAATCTCCTAACTTGGTGTCTTTATTCACACAGTGTCGTGCCCAAGATAATCTGCAATAAGGGTGAATGTAGGATAACATGAATCCAAATCCAGTTCAGGCAGCAGACCCTGACCATACTTTAGATATCTGTTAGGGAACTAACTGTACCATCAGTTTTCTGTGTTTCATGCAGCACTTGAAAAACAAAAAAAAAAGGCAGACAGGTTGGCTAATAAATTTCCAGCAACTGAACATTTCAGCTGCAACTCTGGACTGTAAATTTTTGTCTCTTATTAAACTATTTAAAACACACACATGCACAAGGTTACATCAGCTGTGTTTCTTTGAATCAGTACACTACAGCCAAGATTCATGATGTCAAGGTACAGAACAAACAGCTATGACATGACAGCATAACTTCCCTAGGAAAGTGAAATATTTTTGAATATGATAGATGTGTAAGCTGTAAGAATTGCTTCTAAAAGCAAGAAGTTCTTGTTTTTTAATAACATAAAGAGCCTTGTTCTGAAGGCTCATGCTAAAAACCCTGGTAGACAGCTCAGCTCAAATTCACTCATACAGTTGTGGTCCACATATATTTGTAATAGTGTCCTTATCCTATTGAACTGTTGTGGATAAAGATTTCATAATAGATATGTAATGAATGACTGCCACAATTATAATTTCCATATGGTAGGAAGTTTCTGATGGACATCTATTTTGTCCTCAGTCATCTCTCTGCCTGTCAAAAGAAAGAGAGAATATTTTCTCAAGAAAATCATTATAGTTGCCATTCAGAAATATATGCCATGCTTGAGTAGTCTTTGCTTCTATGGCATGTAAAAATTCCAGCTGTCTTTGGTCTGAAACACTTCAAGATAGCGTTTCTTTGTGGAAATATAGGTGTATTTCATGCAGAAATATACCTATTTCTGCATGTCCAGTAGGCAAATTACATGAACACCATGTAATCATGTGGTACTATCTGGCTGGGAAGAACAAAAGGAAGAGTACAAGAGAGATCCAAGTCACATACTGTACTAACAGACAGATTTTCAAATGTGAAAAAATAGAAATGTTTCTGTTTATTAAAATCTTGTTATTTTTAATTTAAAGATAGCTGTTACTAGTAGACCTGTCTGAATAGAGGTACTAATATAACTAACTCATATAAACTAACAATTTTTTTTAAAGAAATGACAACTTTTTATTTTCTTTCAATGAATACTTTGCTTTTTTTTTTTTTTTATTTCTTCCATAATTCAGACAGCTCTGGCCATCAGCTTAACTCATAAAGACATGTGAACAGAGTTACAGACACAATTTTTAAGAACAACCAGATTTCTAGTGCAAAAATGTTTATAGTATCATCTAAAAGCAAGTTAGCTCTACCCATGCCCAAAGAACTTTTACCTTACTCTATATTACACAGCACAATAAATTCTCTCTACTGTGAAGAAGGAGCCTCTGTTGCTGTCTTTCCTTTCATAGCTAGAACATCTCTTCTGGCTTGTCTCAGAGCAAGCAATACCATATTCTGGCAGCTGCCTGAGGACTGTAGCTGCCTGTGTTTTCAGACACCTCTCATGAGAGTAGTTTTTCATGGTTGAAAAGAATCACCAATACAATACAGGTGCTGGACAAATTGTTGCAGATTTCCAGCACCTGCACTGTCTTCTGTCTATAAATACATATTACATTGGCATACAAAAGCATCTAGCTGGGAAGTTCCAGTCTTCAAGTCAGGATAGTTTCAGATTTATGGTAATACAGTAAAAGATACTACAATCTAATGAAAGGAAAAGAAGAGCTTCATTTCTACAGCTCAGTGAGGCATCTAACATCAATTCTGAACATTCCATGCAGCAAAGGATAGTGGGAATTTCACAAGAAAGAAAAGGGAATATTTAGTCAATTATGTAATAACTGAGGCAATAGAAACCCTCTCTGACATTACTGTGTGTGTTGAAAATCACTCAGAACAAATAATGAAGCTTGAACTGTAGACAATGTTCTTACAAGGAAAAGACATTTCACAATACAAGTAGCTATTAGATACAAGAAGGCTGTCAGTCTTGGATCTCATAAATATTTCTCTCTAAAGGATAGTACACTGAGATCACCATGATCTTTTAAGATGTTCAGGCTTTCAGAAATTGTGTCTGTTTAGAACTCGTTTTCTTCAAAAAGCTTTTGGGCAATGAAACTCTTTCTTCCTTGATAAAGCAAATTTACATGTAACTGACAAGTTTAAGACTACATACTGAGGCATATTGTCACCATTGTCTACTAGCAGATTGAGCTGAAGTGGCTATATTTACAGCACTTTAAATCTTGAAAAGGCAGGTTATGAACTGCAGGAGATAGAAACTAACAGAACTTCTCACAGCCACTTCTTGTATACATAATAGTATGGTGTGGAGATAACTCCATGGTGTTTTTCTGCGTTGCAATGAATTGACCAAGGAAGACAGCAATGTTTGTATTGGTACTGGGAAAACATAAACTCTTCAAACATCTGCTTTTGAGAGAGAGAATTTAGGTAAGCCCTTAAGGCACACAGGACAATGCTTTCAGTGTAGCATATAGGATGAGACAGCTGTGCTTAAGCTGGAGTGAGTACATTCTGACCAAATACCTTGTACAGTGATGATAGGTTACTTGATCTTTGAAAAAACATTTAATACCCACATTGTGGGTACTGAATTGCACTGTACTGTATGTTTCAAGACTAAAAAAAAGAATTAAGAGTTCAGTCTACATTGTCTTTTTACTAGTTTTAAGTGCAAAATTGTTTAGAATTTGAACTTTGAGCTGTTATCTGTGTGCAAATAATTCCTGTCAGCAGTGTCTCTTTTCAACAGGCTTTGGAAAGCTTCTCAATAAGCTTTCCTAGGAGAGTGAGGCAGACACAGTAATGATAACATGTGATTAAGTATGGTACAGGTTTAAGGTCCAAGCCCTTGAAATTCAACTCAGAAGATAGTATTAAACTGTATCTTAAATTTGGACATGTAACAGGGCTTCAATTCAAATGTGACATTCACTCAGATAAGGGTCTCTACTGGGCCTTCTTCTTGCAAAGAATGATGACCTACATCTTTCGTCCTTTTAAATACTCTTTGGACAGTAGGAGAGGGAGATGGGAACACAGTAGCATTGTTTTGGCCTGCCCTGAAGAGAAGATGCCCAAGGAGATATGAAGGTTGCTGCACAAGCCAGTGCAAGTCCTGTGTGGAGTAGCAATTAATCCAGGGTGATTTCTGAATCCCTGGGAGGCAGGACTCATTGGAAAGTCTTCTACTCTGGAGCAACTGGTTGTGCTCTCAACTTCTAGGACTCATAAAACTCCCATGGCCATGAAAGGAAGAAGGTGGTAAAGCCATCCGTATAATTGAAAGACAATTTCTGCTCCAGGCAGAAAGGCAGACCTTAATATCTCAATGCCTTTCAAGATGATTTCTTGCCAAATGTTCAACAAAAAAGGGAATCAAGTAAAATGTTTTGTACTGTGGAAATAGAAGGGCTAACCTGACCCCTTCAAGCCTTGCACTAGGAATTTACTGGACCTGTTCCTTCATGTATGTCATTTGACAATGAACTGTATATTAGGAAATTTCACCCTGTACTCTGTTGGCTATACATTATTAGTGAAATGTCTATCAGAGAATATAGAAAGCCAACTATAACTGCTTATGTCCATTGGTAAATTTCATGTTCTTCTAGTACTGATCAGTGCTGTAAAGAATTACTACTTTGTGGAGAAAACCACCTGCCTCAGACTCAGATCCTGCTTCTCTGTGGCCAGTACAATATGAAGAACGTAACAGGACTGGCACTTTCTTTTCTCTCCTTCCCATTTGGGAACTCGGGAAGATCTTTCCTCTCTTTGCCAAGAGAGAGACTAGTTACATCAGTGGAAGAAAATAGAAGAAGCCTTGTGTCATGGTTTGACAGTGGCCTAATGCCAGGCACCCACAAGAGGCACTCGGTGACCCTTCCCTGCTATAGCTGGGCAGCAGAGGGAAAAAAGGAAAAAAAATTAACAAAAGGTTCATGAGTGAGATAAAGGTTGAGAGAAAACACTTCAAGGGCAAAACAGGCTCAACTTAAGGTTGCAAAGTGAAATTTATTACTAACAGAATCAGAGGAGGATAATGAGAAGCAAAATAAGGTCTTGAAACACCTTTTCCTGCCCAGACCTTCCTCCTTCCCACCAACAGCACAGGGAGACAGGACATGGGGGTTTTGGTCTGTTCATCACTAAAACTTTCTTCTGCTGTTCAGGGAGAGGAGTTCTTCCCCTGTGAGGCTGTGGGGTCCCTCCCATGAGAGACAGTTCTCTGTGAACTTCTCTTTGTGGGCCCACTCTCATGAGCAGCAGCTAAATCACACCTCTTGACACGTGAGTCCCCTCCCATGGGCAGACAATCCTCCCAAACCGCTGTGGTGTGGTCACTCTTCCATGGGGCACAGTCCTCCAAGGACAAGGCTGCTCCACCCTGGAAGCAGGGGCCCTCTCTCTCCCATAAAGTCTCCCACTGGACCACAGCCTCCTCCAGGCATCCACCTACTCCAGAATGAGCACATCCCTCACGGGCTGCAGGTGGATCCCCCATGGATCCCCATGGGCTGCAGGGGCACAGCTGCTTCACCTGCAGAGGAATCTTGGCTTGGGCACCTGGAGCAGCTCCTCCCCTCCTTCTGCACTGACCTTGGTGCTGAGATATTGCTTCTCTCACATGTTCTCACCTCCTCCTCTTCTCTTCTCTGACTAGAGAAGAGAAGTGCCCACTTTGTTCTGATTTTCTTCTCAAATATGTTGCCACAGAGGTGTTACCAACCTCATTCCTTGGCCCAGTTTTGGCCAGCAGCATGTCCATCCTCAGAGCCATCACGGATTGGCTCTGCTGGACATGGTAGAAGCTTCTGGCAGCTTCTCACAGGAGCCATCTTTGTGGCCCCTCTGCTACCAAAAACCAAACGGCAAAACCAATACACCTTGGTCTTCCCAGGATGTTCTGTATGATATCTACAATGATAATACTCAGGAAGCCTGATCGATAAGCAGACTCCTAAGACCTTTAAAAGTCCAGTCTGCTATGTAATTGTGTCTATAAGTATGGCAAATCATACATTTAAACACTTGAGAGGAAACAACAATACTGCTGTCAACACACTCCTGAAATGTTAAAGTAATTAGCATTCAATCTCTACCAGCTAAGAAAAACAAACAAACAAAACAACCCACGAGCTGATGATTTTTTCTTTGGCTACAGAAGAAATATACAGGATTGAAGAGAGAGAGAGAGGTCTTGTAGATGTTGATTACACAGCACAAGTGGGAACACAGCTGCAAGAGTCATCCATGCTTACACAGGAAGAGTTCTCCATCTCCCCACAAGTGCAAGGGACAAAAATATCCTACCTCTTGAAAAGCAAGTTAATACTTATGTGCTAAATCAGGAGGGATTAGAAGCAAAACATTAGAAAATTAAAAGCCATCCATGATTTTTTGCCATTCTGTGTCAAGAACAGCACTGAAAATCAATATGAAGAGAAACATGTAACTCTGTACCAGGATGAATAACAACTAGCTAAGGTAAATATTTTAAGCAAGTCTGAAGGCAGGGTCCTGAAGGCTACCTTCTAGGGTCTTTCAAGGAAGAGTACCTTAACAATATCAGTGCCAATCCCTGAAGCATTTAATTTGAATATTTGCAATAGAAACAAACAGCTGACATCAGCGATGAAGGTTCTTCCTTCTTACCCTGGATGTGAAGGGCATTCGGCTGAAAAGAAGGGCTTTCTGCTTGTTGGTATGTCTTCAGAGGCATCCCTGCAAGCTGTGGAAGCTGAGGAGGCTGTGGAGTCTGTCTCTGCATCATGGGATGTTGAATGGACATTCTCTGGGGGCTGATGTGATGAGAAGGAGCTGGAGCAACAAACCTAGAAGTTCAAAACCCCAAAACTGTAAGATCTCCAACACATAAGAGCTAAAGATTGTTTTTACTTTATTTAGATCACTTTAGTTATTTGCATAGATACAGACTTCCAAAATAACAGTGTGCAGCCCAAATAGAGATGACATATTTTTAAATGGTGATGTATCATTAGACTTGACATTTGGGAAATTAGCAGGCTGAATTGCCCCTTATCATGGAAAACTACTTTTAATCCACTCCTTCTGTGTGTGTGTCTAAGCCATAATTGGAGGACATGTCTCAAGGGGGACCTGATTTTGGAGCTACTGCCAGCAGTTTATTGTAAGCCTTTGTACCAACTTTATTTATCAATAGATAGCTGGTCTTGCTCACTGACAGTGAGAGGTGTGAGAGGTCAGTTCAGGTCATTGGCCACTGAGTTGTTAGATATTAGGTTCAGGCCCAGGTTTCAGACTCTAGAAGTCTTCATATGTTACACAGAGGTTTTTGAAAATAAACAATCTGATATCAATATAAAGCAGGTAAGGGCAAGTGTTAAATTGCTTCCAGAATCTGAACGCATCAAAATGTTGATCTGGACTCAAACTACAAACTTACAAGACTGGCAAAAGAGAATGCTTGAGAACAAATCTGGTGGTGCAGCTGCCACAGAGGTTCATCCCCTATGTTTTGCACAGCTCTGTCATAACTGGCACCACAAGGATATGCAATGCTTTTGAAGATTTTACACAAGAGTTTTATGGAATTTAACTTTTTATTGATTTTTTTCTGCATTTCCTTAGAACTGCATACCTCAAAGTACATTACAGATAGGTCATGCAATCTTTTTTGTAGGCAGAAAGCTAGGTTTTTAAAGAGATTCTGTTTGTGTCCCAAACCAGCCAATAGACTGATGGGATCTGGCAACTTAATGAAAGCTCAGGAATGGCTCTGGGCCACTTTTTTTTCAATGAGAGGAGAGCTGGAAAAATTCCCAAGTACCAAAAAAGAACCATGACATTTCTGCAAGAAGGTGAGTGGAAAGTGACATGTCAAATCTTGTTGCAGATCAGCCTGTCTCTCCACCACTAAAAATAAGCTGCAAGTCTGCTGAGGAGGAATACCCTTCTCTGTGTGCTCAGTGGCTGCTAGGAGGGATCAGTGCCTGCAGTTCACACAGTCTGCCAGTGTTCTAAACCATGAATCTGGTCCCTGTTGTCCTGAGACTGGGCCTCAATATACTAGATAATTCCTCCCCCCCCCCCCCCAATATAAAGGCATGTTTTTCCTAAAGAAGTGTCAAGGAAGTTTTTATCACACCCTGAGTATCACAGAAGGTGCAACTCCAGTAGCAGCTCTACAGAACACCTCTGGGTAGGGTCATCATACAGGTTATATTTAAATAAAAGTCACTTGAGATCTTATATGCTGCAGCTAAGAATCTGTATCTGCCACATGCTATCTCTATGTGGTTTTGACTTCATTTGAAAGGTATTTACTACATTTCTGGTGAATCATAATCTACATTTGGAGTGTAAGAAGTCTCAAGATGAACTCTGGATGGCATCCTGCCTATCCAGTTTTCTGTGAGAAGCACATATTTAAGCATATTAGGTAGGGTTTGGATGGTCCTGGTGCTGATGTGATATTAACTTCATAAACATATATTACTTCAGAAAAGTTATATGGATGGAGGAAATAAAAATGTTATTACTGAGCCATTGAGTAATGTGTCAAATATTTGATTGCTCTAGATAACTGCTGTAAGTAGACTGAAAGACAAACCAGGGAGGAAGAGAACAAAGCATGCACATATTTCACAATAATTCTATTATACAATTTTTTTTTAGAAAGAGGAATCAGTAGTTATATTGTGATAAAAATATCAGAGGTTTTTAAAAAGTGCTGTAACTACCTGGTTATATGTCTCCTGAGTAAAAACTGGAGTTAGTTTTTTGTATAGGAGTCACATAGAAAGACTGCTATCTCCTGCCAGAGATTGAGAGCCAAGCACAAGCAGTCTTTAAATATTATTATTATTTTAAAAATCATGGAATATCATCCTTTGTCTTTTCAGGATTAATTTAGGAAAATTAATTTCTGAAAAATTATTTTAACCAGTAGCCACTAATGGGAAAAATCCTTTTCAAAACTGAAAGTGGAAAGCACAGTTTTACAGATTTACCTTTGATTTAACATCCAAAAAACATCCTCCCAATAATAATACATTATATTTTACAGGCAGACAGGACTCCTTTTTAGTAGACATGATCTTTATAATTATTTATAAATCAACCTGGCTTACCCATATCCATGAGTATAGCTTTCTACTTTTTCTTTCCTTCTGCTTAACAAGAGAAACTTGTACTTGTCACAGCCCAGATTTATCTCTGAACAAATCTCATTATATTCCTGAGAGAACAGCTAATTTAATTGTGTTCCTGAAACACTCAGGTCCAGTTTGTATACCACTTGGAAACTGTAATCAAGAACTATAGTCAAGCCCAGGTGTCAATTCAATCAGGAACCCGCCAGATTTGCATAAAGTTGCCCTATCCTATGCCTGATGTAAAATCCAAGCAGAAATGTTTCTGGAGCCACAAGAAAATCTTTCTTTTCCAATTTTAGCTGTGAAAAAGTGTCTTGCTGGAGAATGACTAGATTTGGTAGTAAGCAAGATGAATGAGTTACCAAAGCTTATCTGTTTTGATGAGATTAGTTAAAATGCCACATACAATGCCACATACTTTACTGGAGCTGGCCCAGTAAACAGTCACTACAACTACATGCACAACCCAAGAAATGTGTGGAAAAGGAAGGGAAGAGGAAAATCAAAGAGTCATAATATACAGTATAAATTGTGTATTTATATAATGCTTTAATTTAGTTTATTTTATCATGGTTGGCCACCTACAAATAAATCTTTTTTTGAGTGGGGAAACAACCTCTTATGTCTCTGTAGCAAAAATATATATAAGATGTTTCTTCACCTAGAAACCCAAGTGCTTTGCAACTCCTCAATTTATTTCACTGCAACCAAGTATTTTTAAATTTTTTAAAAATATTTTTCTTCATATATTGAAAGAAAAGAAACTGCACCTGCATATAAAAGACATAATTTACTACCATTAATCCATGCTACACTATGGCAGAAATTGCTACTAACATTAAATATTTGAGACAGTAACTATGTAACTAAGTTGGATGTAGCTCTGTCTTCATTATTTTTTTTCCCCTCAACTTTGCAATGTAAATGAAAGCATTTGTCACCATTCAGACAAAATGAATCTTTATGGTTGCTATAGATATGTTGCTGAAGAGGAAATTGAACATTAAAGCTGAAACCCTGATTTTTTTTTTTCTTCAGAGGCCATAGTTTTCTTCTTACAACTTGTAAACACTATTTATTGTGTTGCTGCTCTTTTAACCAGCTGAGTCATTTTTGCTGGGCTTCAGCAGTTTGGGAACATATCCAAATGTTGTGCAGTTCACACAGTAAGGCGATCAGGCTTTCATCTGGCTGAGCTGAAGGTTTGGCTGGACAGAGGACTGAACAAGCTCCCTGTAAGAGGTTGCTGCCTCGAACAGTGTGCTGTACACTGCTGCTCTTTTGGACAATGCTAAATGAAGAAAAATCCATGATCATTCCTTCCTGAATGCATGAATTTTATTTCTAAAAAAGCCCAAAAAATCTGAGATGGTGTATCCATTCTCTGCTCTTACATTCTTTCTGTGAACTCACATTCTTTGAACTCACACTTTATGCTGTGTCTTTGTGTCTTTACAGATCCTCAGTCTGCTGTCAGTGAAGGAAACATTCTCTTGTAACACAGTTTGTGAAACCCAGCATATTGCACTGTAAGTTAGTCTGGCTACTTAAAAGTGACAATCAAATAAACATGTTTTAATAACACATTTAAGGAAAGCATACCTTTTGCCAGGAACAAAATTGAACAAATAAGATGTTTTTCCCAAAGTTACGAATATATTCATTTGACCAAAATAATAAAAGCTCAATTTTTTACCTACCTATGATGCATGTTTCTCTCCAATTATTTCTCTGCCACAAGTTTTGTGGGTGCTTTGGTTTTGGGGGTGTTTGTTTGTTTGTTTGTAGTTTTGTGTTTGTTTTGTTTTGGTGTTGTTTTGTTGCTGTCGTTGTCGTCTTTTTTTTTTTTTTTTTAAGGAATGCAATCTTCTTGCATAACAGAAATATTTTGGGCAAGAAAACCAAAATCTAGATGAAAGAAGGGATGGTAGAAAGAACAAACAAATCCTCTGACCAGTACCTCATCTTCTCTTTGGTGAGAAGAAGAAAGGAGAATGTGGAATTTAAAGTGGAATTAAAGGAAGAGAGCTGTGAGCAGGTACCTCAATACATAGACTCCCTGGAGGGAGACTATGTAACTTTTTATAAAATCTCTCAGTATTTTCTGTGCCTATATTGTATCAGAGAACTAAGTTTCTTGCAAATGTGGCAAAGAGGAAAAAATGCCTTTGGAAAAAAAAAAAGTGTGAGAAAAATTCCAAACTTTGCTAGGTTTGTTTTGAAAAGAGATTGTAGCTAGGTGGAACTCAGTAACAACAAGTCCCAAGTAACAAACAACAGGACAAGAAGACACATTGTCAAGTTGTGCCAGAGAAGGTTTAGACTGAGTAACAGGAAAAGTTTCTTCACAGAAAGGGTGGGCAGGCATTGGACCAGGCTCACCAGGGAAGCGGTGGAGTCACCATCCCTGAAGGTATTTAAAAGACACGTGGATGTGTGTGTGGCACTTGGGTGCATGGTTTTGTGGTGGCCTCGGCACTGTTGGGTTAACAGTTGGACTTGATGGTCTTAAGAGTCTTTTTCAACCTAAATTATTCTAGGATTCTGTGACTCTATGGCTCAAGTTCAGGGTTAGCCTCACTGATACCTTTGACACGAGCATTTGTCATTTATAGGTGTTGTTTGCCCACTAAAAAGAAAATTAAAAAGAAAACTTCAGGCAATCCTCTGAAGTGCCCCACGCCTGGAAAGAAGTTGATGTACTTATTTCAAAACCACACTATTAACTACAGACCTTCTTTGAGGCAGCCCTTTGTATAACACATACAAAGGGCTTTGTAACGTGAAGGTTGGAAGTCTTGGCTTCTTGGGTAGAACTATGCAGATGCTTTTGCTTCTGGAAGTTTAGCTCGGAGCTACTTACTATTTTACAGTGAAATCATAAAGAGAATATAACCACACACTCAAATAAGCAAAAAGAATTACTGTTGCAGAACTTATTATAGCATAATGGTACTGCTAAACCGAACACTCTGGCCCTAAGTTCTTCTCGTCAGCCTTAAGAGTCTTTAGAAATGAGGGGCAACAAATGCTCTACTTGCACCCCTAAATCCTGCAGTCCTCTCAACAGTGAGGTTGAAATAAACAGGATGATTCACACCTTTTAAAGACACTATCTCTGTCACTTTCTCTGCTGAAGGTTTGTTCACATTTCCACCGTTCTCATCACACCGATGAAGTGAGGTGACAGCCTACTTGCAAGGCCCCTAGGCAAGTGTACTCTGTTAGATTTAATACACAGATTCTGCCTTAATTCTTCTTTCAAACATTTCCCCTAACTTCTGCCGTATGTATTGTAATCAAACCAACACTGCTGCAATACTTTTTTCCTTTTCTGAATTTAAATTGCCATTTGTCACACTACCTAAGTGAAGACATTGGAACTTTTTTAAACCCAAAGCAGCTCCACACATGGGAATTAGCACTTAAAGCCTTTTTAGAGAGGGTGTATACACTTAACAAATGAAAAAGGAATATACTATGGTAGCTTTTTATTATTGTGTAGAGTACTCTATTATCTTCATGTATGAAATGCATTCAATGAATTGAATGAAGGAAGTCTCACTCTAGGCACCTCTGCTATGGTTTTACAGCAGAAGAACCTCAGAAATGGGCTAATAAGATCATTGTCTTTTATAATTACATTTATACCTATAACAACTGTTAATGTGTCCCTGCCTATCCCCTCATGCCCTGGCAATCATTGGGTATGGATGGACAGGCCATGCATTGAAGAGAAAATATATGTATATACTGGGAGAGAAGAGCCTCTGTGTCAGGCAAGAGAGCATGGACAGTCCCAGAGGTGAGCACAGAGGGCCAGAGATCACAGAGGTGAGCACAGAAAAAGACCAGGATCATGGGGGCAGGAGTGGGGAGGAAGGGAGGAACAAAGCAGATGAGCTCCAGTGATCATGAGGCAGTAAGCTCCATCTCAGACTGATGCACAAAAAGCTCAGCAACTTCCAGTGGCTCCAGAACTGGCTGAATTCACATGTGAAGTCTGAAATAACAATGTACTTTCACCTGTAGTTAATTTCTCGATGCCACATGCTCTCCTATCTTCCTGATACAAGGCAGAGTGAATATTGCTTTCATCCAAAGAAATTATGCTCATTTACCAGTAATTGAAATCTAGTGAATGTTGTTTTCAGGTTTATCATTGGGGATTTTATACTCTTCAAATTACTGTCATATCTGTCACTCAAGGAAATTAAATACTCTGAAATACATTAGTGAAATACAGCAATTTATCACTTAGAGACTGAAAAAGAAATTTTAAAAATAATGTTTAAGTATCCATGAGCAGATAGTGACAGTTTAGTATTTAGTGGGATGATGTTATCTTCCTGACTTTTCCACTAAGAAACATTTACTTAGGCCTCTTCAGACTTGTGATTTGGTAGACTTCTGGTTTAATGAGCTGTAGATTTCTACATCTATAGTACCACACACTATCTAAATCATTGGAAAGAGTGCTGAAAATAATTTAGGGAATGTCTAATGATGAAAATCAAAACACATCTGAGCAATTGATTTTTGTGTCACTGATATCTAAAATCATAGAATTTACCATACCTAACCAGCATATATAAAAATATACATAACTGTCATAAAACAAATCCTGACTATAAATCAAACTCAAAAACTAGTGAAATGAAAATTTGTTCATTATCTGTTGTTCTTCATAAAATGGCAATTAAAAAATAAAGGCAAGGTCTTCCTTCAGAAATGCTTAGTACTGGGAGAATATTGACAGAATATGACTCTTCTCCCACAAGTAAACAGAAACATGAATCTCAGGGCCCCCATACTGTAGGTATGGCTGTGGTCATCTGAAGTTCAGTGTGCCAGCTGGTATCACTTTCCTTGCTTGGGCCCTCCACTGGGATCAAGAAGGGACTGGAGCAAGTCCCTGAAATGGAAATGGATGGAAAATCTCCCTCTCAGACTGGAATAACATGGTCCACTTCTCCTCCTGATAAACCCCTACCCAGGGCAGTTGTTAGGCCAGGGCTGCCACCAGTGCCTACCAACAACTGTATTTCCCCCCACCTTGGCAGCTCTGAAGACAGTCCAGCCTCAGGCTCAAGCTGGGAAGCACAGGCTCTTACCTCTCTGAGTCAGCAGCTGTGAGAAGAGGTACCTGGGGAGGGTGCAGAGGACTGCCCTGTATGCTTTGTCCTGGGGAAGAATGGCTGCTGGGGTGGGACAAGGACACTGCCCCAGCTGCTGTTCCACTTTGATTTATTTGTGTGCTGGGGATCACAGCTGCTGAAAGTAAAAGAGAGAAATAATGCTCATCAGGCAGGAAACAATGCTGACAACTGACCAAACAACAATAATATTGATAAATGACCAAACACCAACATATAACCCCTCCTGTCGAGCAGTAGTGCCAGCTCTTAGAAACTAAGAAAACTAAGGGTTTTCTGATGTGTTGTTTTCACAAAGAGAAGAAGAAGAACCACATGAAAATAAGTAAATATTCTTTGCTGCTTCCAAATGACATTTCCATAAAACCAGTCATGAATGATCACAACCAGGCTCATTGTCTTGGAATTTTTTGTCTGAATAAGGCTGCAAATCTTCTATACTCTTCTATTGTAGAAGATGTGTCAATATTCCTAAGATCTGTAGTTTTAGAACTAGTGAACAGAAAGAACAGTTTCATAAAGTGTGAAATGCTTTCTACGTTTTCCCCTCATCTATAAAAATTACAAATTTATTGAAGAGCATTATTACTATCATTTGCCCAGATTCCTCAGTAATACATACAAAAATTTTAAACCATCTTTACCAGCTTAATAATTTTCTGTGTGTTTTCTCTTGGATTTTTTCTAATAAGGAAAATTTCCTGCCTGTTTCCTTACTGACTAAACAAAAAGCAATGTAGGACTTTGTTCAAATGTCCTAATTAGTTCATCCCAAATCCTATAACCTTATTTTCTGGTAGCCCCTTTAAAAAAAAAATTTAAATCAGACAAATATAAATCTTTGTATCTCTGAAAATCCTGTTACACAACTATTTATACTGACATTTGTGTCAAGTAGCTTATGCTGATGTTGACTGGCAGACAAATGCATCCTCTTAAATATTTTATGAACCCAGAGAATGAATTAGATAGTCTGTCTAAAAGAAAAAAATTACTTCTCCTGTTTGTCTGTTGTATCTGTCTCTTTAAAAAAAAAAAAAAAGGTATTGTTCAGGTCTAGTTACAGAGTAAATTTCTACCTATAAAATTTACATTATGCTAGTGAATATGTTGAATATGCTAATGATTTGAGTTTCATGATAAAATCCTAGAGTTTAAACCAGTTCCCCAGGGGGCACTGTCACTAATAAAACACCTTTCTAGGCTGAAATATGTCCATGGATGCTGCAGTCCTAGCAGAAGAAAGACTGCATTAGAGGTAGTCTCACCACAGATCAGTCTTCAAGGAAATGATTTCACAGGTCATCATTTTTCATTCACAAGTGTGAATTCTGCTACAGAAGATCAAAAAGGTGAAAATTCACCTTGTCTCCCAAAGCCTCAGCATGTTCTTGGAAAGACTCTATTGATCCTTACAAGCCCACCTTTGTGACACACTGGATATTCACCAAGCTAAGACAGAGTTAAGAAAATGCTCAGGAGTCTAATTATACTGTAGCCCCATTAAGGAGCAGCCCTGGACATTTTTCAGCTGGTGGAAATGACACACAGTGCAAGATGACAGACAGGAAACCACTTTGTGAATAAAAGCATCCAATACAGATGCTGTAGAGGTAATGTCAAAGATTAGGGGAAGTTGACATTGGTGGTCAAAGGTGGAGGAGTGCCTTGGTGCCAGGTTCTGCTCTTTGCTAACTTGTTTGTGGACCAGAGCCTCCTAATAACAACCCAAGTGATGACAGACATCTGACAGCAGAAGACATCCCAAACCTTAAAGAGGAACACAGGAGGCAGGTCCCACAGGAAGATGAGACATCACTTAAAACAGCAGAATAACTTGCAAAGAAGAAGTCGAGGACATTTTCTTAGTAAGATAGGGGAATTTTTTTTTCCCACTTTGCTCATGTACCCCAAAAGTTACGTTTTCCATGTCTGTCTCTCAGTGCAGCATCAGGACAAGTGCAGAAGATAAAAACAAAGGAATGAACTTTTCAAATTCTTATTTTATCTTACATACAGCACAGAAGAAAATACTGAAAAATAACCAAGCACACATTCTGACAGCAAAAGAACAGAGAATATTTAACGAATCAGAAATTTTAAACATATTCAGATATTTTGAAAAAAATCCAAAAAACCTCAATAAAAGCCAAAGAATCATGAGTGCTGTTCCTCTGTATCCCTTAAAAAGTCCAAGCCACAACATTTTTTACAAGGTGATTATAGCTTAGTTCCAACTTAGTCCTGACTATGAACCTCAGATTGTGAACCTCAACAGGGACAAAGTTTCAGCCAAAAAGAGGAAGGAGTCTTGTTTTCTTTTCTGGAGTCTCATCACATATCCATTTATCAGTACATAAGAATTTTCCATGAGAATATTTCTGCAAACAGTTCTCTATGAGAAGCTAAATTCATATGTAACCTCACAATGCATAGGAAAAATTTAGGTGGTTGCAAGAGAAAAGGATGATCCTGAATAAGGTTTCTTTAAGAAAAAGAAAGCCAAAAAGTAGTATTGAAAGTGTCACAGAATCTAAGGCCAAAAAGAAGTTATTTTTCAATGGAGTCAGAAACCTGTAATTTCATGGAACATATTTAAATGCAGAAATTTGCAAATTATGCATTATTGCAAAAAAATGCTCTAATTGAAGAGCATCTTGGACTTACTACCAGCACTCTTAAAAACAATTTCTGCCACCAAAATAACTCTCTTCTAATTATTGACAGTATGAATTTAAAGTAGGGCTGAGAGCTTTTACCATATAGAGTAAGACAGTGTGAAGGTTTAATTTTGTAGCTCAGTTAGTTACATACCTACATTTGCAAGGTTGCTTTATTTTTAATTACTAAATATAGCCTTCTATTTCTGTAAGGAATATGTATGAGGTCCTTGAAAACAACGGATTTACTATTGCACAGAAGAAAATAGATGAAATATTTTTTGCACTTGTAAGCATCACCTGCATATATTCCCCTCTTTCTCTTCCCCTAGGAAGTCCACCGGATTTTGTAGCCAGGATATATGCTGTATTGAGTTTTAAGTGGTAAGCCCAGCAAATGAAAAACCTATTTTCTGTTTTACCTTTATCCTCAGTTCATCTGTAAATCTGAAGTCTCCAGAGAACATGAAACTCAAGAAGCCATCATGCATTAAGAAGTACAGTAGAAGTAAAAATTGCATTTTCAAGATAATAAGTCTGTCTCCAAAGCTGGCCTTTCACATGGACCACCTGCACTGATGGCCTTTCTATGCCTTTTCAGGTATTCTACAGGCAAATCATAGATACTGGAAAACATTAAAGTACTGAAGAATAAAGCAGGGTCTGGACCAGTATTTTAAGCCATTCCTGAAATGGCATCTCTAGATCACATTCCTGCCTTTCATTTTCTTCTCTTTCAGTGGATTGCAGTTTCTGAAGTTCAGTCTCATCATGATGAATGGAACCACAAATGGTGCAAGTGGCCGTGTTGCCCACAATGTTTGTAGCAGTCCATTGGTAAATGTTCTTAAAAATGTGTACCCGAACATTACATCAATTTTTGGAGAACCATGAAGTTGTCTCAAAATAGAAATTATAAACTTATAAGTAAAACTGGTAAATAAAAGGGCAAGTCTGAGGGGAAGCAAACTATCCTCCTTAAATTAAGATAATATTATTAACACTTTTTTGCCCCCTGTAATGTATGTATGGTTCTACCTGTGACTACATCACATTAAGCAGGAGCTCTAGACATGTATGCAATACTTAAATTCAGCCTAAAAGGTGAAAACAGAGATCCTCTTCATTATTGGTAGTCCTACATTACTGCTCCTTTTGCATCCATTCCCTACACATCAAATACAATTCTGTTTTTCACAGCAAGGGCCATTCATATGTCAGTTCTTCCTTCCCATTCTTGTTTTTTCTAACAGGAATGAGCTGTAACTATTTTCCAAGCCTATCACCCTTAAAAAACTATTTTTAAAGAAAAGAACAGACTTTTTAAAAAAGAAAACTAGGGTGCTTTTTTTCAGACATCTCTTAGGGACTGACTAGGACAATTTCTTTAATAAAATTCTTTCATTAATTAATAATTTCATTAATCTATTCCTGTATGTGTCCTTAACCTCTACCTGCTTGTTGTACCTGCCTACTTTCCTGTTGTTACCTTAGATACAAATTCCTGGGGGATTGGATTTTTTTCTTATTATGTGCACAGAGCACCCAGCTTAGTACAATTTCAGCAGGGAAAAAATCCAAAGAAAAGTGTTACTCAAGCAAAGCACAGAAAGTATACACATAGAAGTAGTTTGGTCAAAGTTTCACAATATAGTGTAAGACATTATTTAAAAAATACTTAGCATTCAAATAAGTTCTGTAACTTTACTGATACAATTTTTAAATTCCAACTTGCAAAGAAAATTATGCAGTTGACAAGCTTTAGAAAGAATCCTTTGCTTGCTCTGGAGCAGAACTTACTGTGATATTCAGTAACTACTCATAAATGAATTACACATTCTGGCTTATGCATAAATATGAAATGGTCAAGTTTTATCCAAACAGCACAGTAAAAAGATGGGGTTTTTTTCTGCTGCATTATTTATGACTCTTCTGGATTTAGTGGTTCCAGATTGCTCTATACAAAGTAAGTTCATATTGTTTCACAGCAGGAAAAATCATCATCCCCATGTTATTATGAGTGTATTGCTCTCACCTTCATTCTGTGAACCGTGTAAACCAAAATGCCTTGGTATTTTTCAAAATTTAAACCTAGATACTATTATAATGCTTAGTCCTTAGTCTGTTTGCTTTAGACCCATAAATGTAATTTTGTGTTAGTTTTAAGCAAAGAAGCTGTAATGCTACCTCACTGTATTAATAAGTTAATAGTCAGTTTGGATTTCTTCTATGAAGTTACAAAAACTACAAGATAAGAAAAAGCTCTTTTGAAGACTTAACTCCAAGTAATAGATCTGTAATCAAAAAGGTTATTGTTGCACTTTGTTTAAATGTGTCTGTGTCTATAGATTCTGTATTTTATCAGTACTGAGAAACTATACCGTGGTCACTACAGATGTTCTACTATGTGAATGAAAATGGACTTGCATCTAAACATGTACTTCTGGCATTTCTTACCTATTTCTAATAGTTTGCTTTCAAACATTTATTCTGTAGAATTCTTCTACAAGAAAAAAAACCTTTAAATGTGCATCAATAATAAGTGAAATCACCTTCAGGTAAGAAAAGTTTGATTGGACACCACTGGAAGTATGAAAATCTATTCCTCCTTCTACTTTAAAAGTAGAACAGAGACATTTCAGCTAATGTGCTGTCTCAAAAAGTACCCAGTAAAAATAATGTGTTTAATTTTTCCAAAGTCTCAAAGCTGTATTTACAAAAAAACATTGTTTTAAGTGAATTTTGAAGGGTAGCTTCTCTGAGGCAAGACATTTAAGTTTTTGTGTATTTTACATTTCTCCCAATTGGACATGAATAATTTTCATGTTGCCATTTCAATATAATAATTTCCTGCCTGTCAGATTTATCTCATTTGTTCACATAGTATATCACCCTGCAGCATCCTTGATGAGTCCTTAATGAAACAATTTATTTCAACTGGATCAAGTAGTTGTCAAAATGGAGTGACACAGACTGCTCTATGCCTGACATAGTACCCTCTAACTGATGTGAAACAACACAAGTGACTAGAACTACAAGAACTTTGCCAAATGATGGATAGCTGGGAAGACATGTAAGAGAAAGCAGATTATTACTTACACAGAAATTAAGGCTGATAATAGTACGTTGATTAATTACCATAAAAATTAAATTACCATTAAAATTGCTATACAATAGGAAGCAGTGCCAGGAAAGAAACTACCAAAATATATTTTTATATCAAAGGAGGCTCATAGTTAGTAGTGCTGCAAACATCAAGTATTGAAAGACAATGGCACAAATGAGACTACAGAAAGTAATGTCTCAGTCTCAGAAGCTGTCTGTGAAACACCATGTTGGCAGACAATTGCCAGCTGAGGGCTGGCTGGAGGCAGCAGCTTTACCCAGCTTGTCATGGGCAGCATCTTGCTCAAGCCACTGTCAGCCTGTGCTGGGACTGACCCAGCAGACAGAGCTGGACATTTAAGGGTAGCCTGGAAGCTGGGGAGGAGTGCCCAACAGATTGCTGTGGCCATCTCTTGTGAGAATATCCTCAGTTTCTGGAATCTGACACACTGTCCCATCCCAGCTTCCATTCTGTCTAGGAACTTGAAAAGAAAAGGAAAAGCTGAGTCTTTGTTATCTCTCAGTTTTGCATGTTACACTTGGTAAAACCATAAATAATTAAAAAAAAAATCCCAACATTCCTCACTATCCAACTCCCTCTCAATGCACAATGTAAAATAAACAACTATAACCCATTACATGTTCCCAGAATTTCTCTGGCCAAAATCACATTTTTAAAATCTGAAATTTCCCTTTTCTTTCGCATAGTAAATATCACACTCAGTCTGTACTCAGACTAAGGCATTTAAAAGTTAACAGCATACAAGTAATACCAACTACTTAATAAACTAGAATACAATCAATCACAGCTTTAAGCATCCTAAATTTTGTCATATACACCTACATCATCACTAACTATTGTGTGACTCACAGCAGCCTTGACAAAAGCATGAAATAGAATTGCTAGTTTTACAAACCTCTCAGTAAAATAAAAGCACCTATTGAAGTGGCCACTTCATATAATGTCATTTTCATCACTGCAGATAACATAAATGAAGCCAATTAATTCACTTCCTACATCTGGTTCTCTATTCAACTTAAAAGTTGAAGTAATAAAAGACGTAATGCATTTTGCCTGAAAGTTAAAAACAGAGGCTCTCACAAGCTCTCACAACTACCAAAATATTGCATTAAAAATGTTAACATCCTGCCCATTGCCCTCTTGAGCTTTAAGATTTATTATCACTCATAACTTACTGGTAGTTTCAAATTTTTTTGAAATGTTAACAAAAACATTGTAGGCAGGTATGACAAAGGTATTTTAGCAGGAAAATCTCAGATAATTAACTGAAACGATACAATAGGATCATACATTCATAGTGTAAATGTGTTTATTGTCTATTTACAGTCAATTGTATATTTATACTCATAATGCAGCATTTCAGTTTCTTAATGTAGATCAATTGAAAAATTGATATGTGATCCATAAATAAGGCAGAGGAAAAATATTGTGATTTTAAATTAAATAATGTATTTAAGATGTCTACAAGGAATGGTAGAAGTAAATTGGTTGCATAATCAAATGCCCATAGAACAAAAATATCCATCTATGTTGTATTAGGTCTTTTCATGGGTATAGTATGATTGGTTTTCCTTCCCTCCGAAAAACACAAAAACATGTTCAAAATCTTTTTTTATATTGCTTTTCATATTCTATCCTTCTTCTGAGATAGATATGCATTTCAGAGTACATTCTACTCTACAAAGTGATCCCTAATATTAAGTGAGGAATAATACAGCAGCTTTTTATCTGTATTATTTTATACCTGGGTAAATATCACAAGCAGACCCTGGGGAGTGTCCCATGGTATTATCTACAGCATCCTGTGGTGACAGGACTGGCTGGAGGGGCTGGATTGCAAGACAGTCATTCAGGATGTCCTGGCCAATCTCTGAGCTTGATCGCAACTGAAAAACAAGAGATAAAAAAGGAGAAATTATAACTAAACATGGACAAAAGAAAGGAAATAATCACAAAAATCTTAAGACAGTGAAAAATTAAAATGAAGAAATGTTGAGGTTAGAGAAAGAAATGGACCACAATCAGAAACCTTCCCTTTTAAATCATCATTAATACCATTCTTTCAATCTGGCAGGCACTTTTTGAATCTGAGGAAGAAAACACTTCCAGATGCTTAACAAGACTATACTTAGGACAAGCACTACTTGTACAGGTAGGATCTTGCACAGAAGGACTTCAGTGGTCTTTTGTCACAGACTGCAAAAGAGAGGAGTGGCCTAGATAATGAGTATTGAAGATTTATCAAATGTCTGACATGCTTGTACCAGCAGAGGGGTCCTATAATGGATACAAATATTTTCATGCTGGTTTAATGCCCTGAACTGCCTCACCATAGGACCAGAGGAGCAGAGGTGCTCATAACACTGGAAATGAGTGACTGGGAGCAACCACTTAGGAGAGGTAATATACGGGCAAGTGGAAATAGGACCACTTCAATATAGACTAAAGTTGTCTTGAGACACCATTCTTAAACAGACTAGGACTATATTTGTTTCACATTACTGCAGAACTGAGAGTGCTCTGTCATGGCTGCAGCACCCTAACAAGGATGGTGTGGCTGTAATGGCAAACTGCACCCTGAGGTTTAGGACAGATTATGGATGCTGCTGCAGGCTGCTGGGACTGATGCCTGTCCTGATCTGCTGCCTTATGTTAATATTATATATAAAAAAAATTGTCTGTTCCTTTAAGTCATTTTGTTTCCATTTAAAAGCCTGGAAAATGAAGGTCTGTGCTTACAAGCATGTTGGCTACTGCAATGGCTGAGATGCCCATAAATATCCTGTCACGTCATCCAGGTTCGTGCAGCATGATGGAAAGAACCCTGACCTAGTGCACTTGGATGTGCTGCACTTTCCCAAGAAGAAAATCTCACAGAGGCCACTGAGGCTTCTCCTCTCTTGTTTGGTGCCATGGGGGCTGAGCAGGTAACAGTTAACTAGAAGACAGCCTAGCACATCTAAACAACTCCTAAGGGGAGGAAGAGGAACCAAAAGACAAATTTCTGCACATATTATACTCAGAAATTAATCACAGAATAGTTTTCATTTGAAGGAACCAAGTCCCAGTGCCCCTGCCACAGGCAGAGGCACCTTCCACTAGATCAGGCTGTTCAGAGCACCATCCAACCTTGCATTGAACACCTCAGGGCCAGGAAATGAAGAAAGAAAAGTAAGAGGAAATGATTCTTAACGCAACTATAAAAAGACCCATTGCCACAAGATGACCCTTGTGCCACAAAATGCTGATAAACACTCAAATTACCAAATATTACCAACAAACACTCAATGTACCAAATATTTTGATAATATGCACTACTGTAAAACCATGGCAACTGAGTGAAGAGTTGGTCTTGCACCTCCTAAACACCCAGCCCTGTAGCTGGAGATAGCCTGTGATACCTATGCATACACTCTGCATGCTGGAGATTTCTTCTCTTAAAAACTTAACCAGCCATTATTAAGCCCAGAGGTACACTACCTCTGTGAGGTACATTTGCTCTTCTAGAACTGTAGGAAGGGGGAGAATGGATGGGGAAGAGGGAGAAGTGAAGAAATACCCTGACAAATGATTGTGTTTATTATCCATATTTACAATCTGTTGTAAGCAGAAACATTTCTCCCACTTTGGTACATGCCATTTTCTGCTGTTATCCAGTAATTGTGCAAGGTTTCCTGCTATCACTAGTAACATGGCTTTTTCTCATGAAACTCAATGCTTGTGAAATTAAATGTCAAATATATCCTCATTCAAATCGTTACACTACATTATCAATAAGCCTTATGTGAATTTAAATTTCTATGGAATCTAAAGTGAATATAATATGAAAAATCTGACTTCTATAAAAGAATCAGGATTCTATCATACAGAATACACAATCACAGAAGATGCCTGTGTAAAGTTGTCTGAATTATTTTAGGAAACAGATAAATTTTCTATATCAGATGGCACTCACAGATAAAACAGTGAGAAAAACAAGAAAATGAGAGTTAAGTATTTACACATTAGTTACAAGAATTAAGTAATTATTTTAAAATAAAATATGCAACCACCTATTTTACAGATTTTTCTAATTTGCACTGCTCAGGAATCTTGCATTTGCATATCCTTTGATATTTAGAACAAATCTATCATGACAATCTGTGCTGGCATAAATTTTCTGGCTTTTCAAAACTTATAAAAATGAAGAAAACCTAAGATCATCAACAGAATACCAAAAATAGAGAAAGAAACACTGTGAGACAGCTGTGATCTGATTTCTGAGGATAGTTCCTATTTCATGCATTGGCTACGGTTGCTTAGTATTTTCAATCACAAGCTCTAGAAATACAATCACAAGTCAGAAAAGGGCATAATCCAACACACTATATCAGTCAAATAGTTTTACATATTTCACAGAAAACTTATTAATTTTTTAAACTTAATTAAATTTTGTAACTGAAAGCAATGTCTTGCATTGTGACAAATGCTATGATTCTTCTTTAGTATGTCAAGAAATACAGAACAGACAATGAAAAGACTAATTATCTTAAAACCAAGTAAAAACCACAAACCATTCACTGCAACTGTAAAACTTTTTTTTTCAGTTGAAAAAGCTATAAAGGAGAAATAATAATTGACCAGCTATAACTGCTGCCATCCATTTCTTGCTCTGTTCTAACAACACTGTATTTCTTTTCCAGCCTGGACTGCAGACTACCATCCAAGTGTATAAAAGGAAGCTGACACTCTCTTTGACTTCTATATGAATTGTACCCCAGCACAGATCTCCCAGCACTGTGACAGAAATACGTCATTTCCCCATGACCATCTTGCTTCTTTCATGATCACTCAGCTGAGCACCAGTACAATCATGCTGGGACTGAAAACTTGGCAATCTGTTTTTGAGAACTGTATGGCCATGGAGTTACCTCACTGACTGGTGAAATCAATAACTGACAAGTCTGACATGGTGAGCAGAGCCACCTTCTGTGTGCTGGAATGTAACCTAAATTTATGGCTGATCCAAGTGCAAGTTAACAATCAATTGCTTTACTCACCTAAAACTCCCCTGTATTTGATATTTGGTCCAAATAATAGTTTTTTAATTTAATAGCTCAATTTTATGGTAAGACTTGTGAAGTTTTGTATTTGGGAATACAGAAGCACTTCCATTATCACAATGTGGAAGTTTTTTCTAATATACAAACAAATAATATTTCAGTCATAGTTTACAACTGTTTTACTTATGTGAAAATCAGCTAATGTTAACTGCCTTTCAGAACAATGGATGGACGTTCTACTCCTGTACATTTTGTATATGAATAAGCAATTACCCAAATTAAATGAACCAAGCACAAATAATTAGAAGGGTGTAAGACTCTCATTCCTCAGTTTTCAATTTCATTACATTTGAGTTCAAAAGCAGAGGCATGCTGTTGATTTGATGCATGACTTAATCCCAGAGAAAATGTCTCCTTACAAGAAAAGATAATTTAAAAAATTTTTCTCTCACTAATGTGTGTTTCATCTGAGATCTGCATGTTTATTTACCACCTGACTAGTTTCTTCAGCATTGCTCCTGTATAAGAGAAGTCAAACACCATCAAGGAGAACATACGATAGGTGTGTTTATGAATGCACTTATAAGAAAAGAGGCAGTATAGCTTGAGAAATCCTAAACCACACAAAAAAGTTCAGTAACTTCAAAACCTGCCTGTACATATTCAGATTAATTCGATTAATTCTTCAGTAAAGTCTAGACACTGTTAGTCATTCAAACATGCCAGTTATCTCATCAAATCATAACATTTTAAGTCTTGCTTACATAAACATGTGCTTAATATACATGCATGTTGTGTAAATACTGAGTAAAGTATTTACATATGTAAGTGAGGCATTAGTTATAGTCTACTTATTTTCATGCAGGTTAGATGTGTGTCTGCCATGTCTAAAACTATCAAAAAAAACCCCTAAATACTGGTATGTTTTGTTGACAGGAATTTTTTACACTAACTGTAATCGTTCTATAGATCTATTTTTGTTTTGTGTATAAAGACAAGGAGGAATTTCTGCTATTCACATAGTCTGTGTATTAAGTTTACTAATGTCAAGTTCAAAGTAGGTAGTTTTTACTCATTTTCATTGTCTGTAATTTAAGCTGTCATTGCGAGAGCAAAGCACAACCTATCTACACAGGGCCACATTGTACTAACTTTTCTGTAGGAGTACCTGTAATTTAATATTTACTTGTACAGTTAGAGTAAAATTACGTCCTGCTGGTATCATGACATTGAGAGTACACAGATGTCACCGCTAGAAAATTTTAAATTTCTGAAGCGATGCTGTAAGACAGTATTTACTCATATTCTGGTTTTTCTTGCTGGATACAGATCATCCTTTTACTCACAAAGATCAGCTTCAAGGTCCAGCACTTTCTTGCAAAGTACTAAACCTTTCTGACAACAGACACTGACACAGAATCAATAAAAATTGTCCTAATTCTTGCCTCTGCAGTCTACAGATATCTTGGGGCAATGAAGCAATGCAGACGGAAGGGATTTCTCTGTACCCTTTGTTTTCAGGGAGTCATCTGTGCAAGACTTCTAAAAATAAATGTTCTGCTAATTGTCTACCACAGCTTTCAGATATGCATCTGTGTGTGTGCTACTTTTCCCTGCCTTTAGATCCCATTTCAATTAAACATTTGGCCAGAAAAAACAATAAAAATCAAGCTCAACTAGCCCACCTGCACAGCAGTGACGTTAGGTTCTATGCAAGAAATAGTTACTTTTGCTACTCTCAAAGTTTTACTATATTGAACATTTGAGTTCAATATAAAAATGGTTTCCATCTTCATGTTCTAGCATAAATCAGGAAAACACATAAAAAATATTTTTCAGTGTCT